ACGAGGCATCCCTCACCTGAAGCTTCAATACCGCGACTTCACCCTCCAACGCAGTCACTTTCCCGCTCCATGCCGCAGCGGCCTCCGCCGCCTTAGCCTGGCCCTGGCACTCACACTCAACTGCAGCCCTCTTCCCCGCCTCGAGCTCCTCATCCTTCCGCCGGAGCTGCTCCTCGAGAGCACTCGCTCTGCCAAGTGTTTGCTGCATCTGAAGCTCCCGCCTCGCCAGTTCCTCGACCAAGGTCCGACTACGGGGATCATTCCTCAAGCGCGCGCGCATCTCTCGGCACCGATCTCGGTAGCGGCGGTGCTTCTCCAGCGCCCGCAAAAATATTCCCGAACGGACGTTGGCTCGACGAATGCTCTCCACCTCCAACAAATAAGACTGCAAAGCAAAGACAACGATTAAGATAAAGGACAAACTAAGGCAAAGAAGAAGCGAACTGACGCCATAGTGCATACCCTCAAGCCCATCACGGCCACTTCATTCATCAGTCCAATATCCGTAACGTCCCTCAACGACGCATTCTCGGCCTCCGAGCATAGCAGCTCGAACTGCGGGACCAAGCTACTCCCTTGGAACAATAAGTTCAGCTCCATGGGAACCTCGACGAAGGGAGACCGCCCCTCTGCGCGCACCGCTGAATTGGTGAAGCCTTCCTGGAACATACGGACGTCATCGGGGTCCAAGTCGAATTCAGACTCGTACTCATCTCCTACAGCATCCCTTCCTCCTTCCGCCACCAGCGAGGTAGAACCACCCGCCGTGGCCACCGAAGGAGCGCTTGCCTCACCAACATTAGCAGCCACTGAAGAACTAACTCCCGTCTCAGCGACTGGAACCACCAATCGAGTCGCCGAAGCGACGACATCATCATGGCATAAGCCAACCAGGGCAACCCCCATTTGCGTGTCCACCCTCAGTGTCAGGCGCCGCAGCCAAACTCCGCTCCGAATCCGCCGGGAGGGGGTCCAAATTAATTACCACAGGAGGAGCCGGCGTGAACACGACCCTACGCCTTATCAATGGCCTCTCCTCCTCCCCATCTGATGGCGATTCCGCTCTAGGGCGCACAACCCCCGATGGCCCCTCGTCTCGAAGTGCGGCCCGTGCTGGAGAAGGAACCGCTGAAGATTCAACTGATGTCGCCCTCGGTATTGGGCACGACACCGGCGCTGCAGTAAGTAGAGTAATTGCACCCGGCCGACGCAAGGCCAACTGAGGGGCCCTGACGCGGCGTGCCCTCCCTGATCACAGAAAAACAAAGTTGATGAATAGAGTTGAAACAAAGCGGAACAGAAGAAGAAATCAATTTTTTACCTGCCACAGGCCTACAGCCATGCCTCTCCCAGAAAGACGCCCATGTGCGTATCCCCACCGTATGGGGGAGCACGGCCTCAACCCACTCACGAATCCCAGCCAACGGAGCCGGCGGCAACTTTTCGGCTACAAAATTGATACGAGTTAACGTTTATGAGCACAAGACGTAAGGAGGGGCAGAAAAGAGAATTCGACGATTAAGGAACTTACGTGCATGATTCCAAGCCTCTGGGAACCCAGTAGAGCACGCCACTAAATGTTCAGTCCTGATGTAGAAGAAGTGTTCGAAAGGGCTAGGGTCGACCTCATCATCCAGTTTCACAGTCAGGCCCCTCGTCCCGCGAGGGCACGCTCGAATCATGGTACCACGAACTCTCTGGGGAGCGTAGAGGCTAAGCACATGCTGCAGCGTGACCTCCCTACCGGCCAGTTCTGCATATTTGATAAGCATTGCTAATAATTTGTAAAGAGAAGGAGCAAGCTAAACTGGGCATACCCCGTAATAACGACAGAAATCAACCACTAGCATTGGCAGCGGGAGCTTAAACCCAACTTGAAGGGATAGGCGTAAAAGACGCAGTATCCCCTGCGGTTGGTGNGCGTACTTGAGGAACATTGCCAACAATTTGTAGAGGGAAGGAGTGAGCTGACCCGGGCACACCCCGTAATAACGGCAGAAATCCACCACCAGCATTGGGAGCGGGATCTTGAACCTCAACCTGAAAGGATAGGCGTAAAAAATGCAGTATCCCCTGCGGTTGGTGTGGACCCTCTCCTCGCTTCTAGCGAGAACGACGTCAGCATAGCTTGGGACTGACCCCCTGTCCCCCGTAGTTGGGCCATCCCAATCTCCCCCATTAACGGGGCTTCATCCACCTGATCCTCCCCACCATCGGCGGTGAAATCAGTCATCCGACCTCCGGGCAGAGATACCATCTCGTCAACCGATGGAGCTTCATCGGTCTCCACCAGTTCTGCACCGCCCATTGCCGGAGATGGCCCTTCAGTCACCGGAGAGTTAACCGGAAGATCCGTCGGAAGAACGTTTTGGGAAGAACTGCCTGATAACGAGAAAGAAACAAAGTTTGAGGGACAAAGGTGGAAGTTATATCAATCGAAGAACAAAGATGAAGGTGAATTAGTAGGAAGAAAAGGTTCTTCAAAATCTCTCTCAGACAAACAACGAGAATATAAAAAAAAAATGAATGAGTCAGCCCTTATTTATAAGCAACACAAGTGGCTTTCACAAGCCCCAATAGCCTTCATTAACTACATGACCAACCGCAAACCGATTCGGTTCTGCAGAAACGTGCGTCATTATGACAGGCTCCATGAAGCGGCTTTTTAGTCACCAACCGGCGTCTCACCTGCGAAACGGTTGCAACGACCCATAAACGCTGAGAGGATGTTCCGTGCGCCTTCAGAATGATGGACGTCGCCAAACACGTATCCAGCGTACCCCTACTCCCTTCGGCTGCACAACATATGAGCCATCCGCTATGGTCGACGGTTATGCTCCCAAACAAACGTAAGGATCGGAGCGCAACAAAGCTCGACCTCACTCAAATTAAGTTAACGGGTCAGGTGCCTTCGTCGAGGGGGAAAGTTCGACCTTGATCGAACAACGACTTGACAACATAATAACAAAACACTCACACTCTACAAGGCTAAGGGCCATCGCCAAAGAGAATTCGGCCTCGACCGAAACGACAGCCGACCTCCCTATCCGAGTTTCTCAAACTACAGTCGATGAAATACGCTCATCGAGCTCGGCCAAGGCACGATCTCAATAAGCGGAGGGACTAACTGTATGGGTCAGAATCCGACCCCACGATAACTAACGAAGCTAATCCCGTCTTAAGCTAATTCATGATTAATAAGTGGTACGACCACTTAGAATTAACGGTTTTAACCCTTGCCTGATTTGATCAATAAGGCCACGGCCCATCCGCCATCATGAAGGCGAAACCCCAACGTGGTCACAGCCACTAATTGCCAGCTCACGAAGCTCATAGCTACAAAATACCAAGACAGAAAATCCTAGAAAGGGGGCTCCTTCTTGGTCACTATCCAGGAAAAAGAGAAAAAACACAATGATACCCATATTATGAGAGAGTAGAACACCATTGTAAGGCCCTGAACCTCTTCATGGAGAGGCAGGCCAAATCAACATTATCAATAAAGGATTTTCATGTTTCTCCTCCTAACTCTGAGTATTTATTTTCATTTCCTTCATTTGGTCCAATGGATTATTACGTTTTGCTATGATTTTCCCGTGATTTAATTATGTTATTTTATACGCATAAGCTATGTGATAACTTTTGAGCAAACATGGTTAACTATTTTGCCACCACTAGGTATAGAAAATCAATTCACAAACAGTGTTTATTTTAGGAAAACAATTAGTGTAATGCACAGTGCAAAAATATTGACAAAAATATATAAATACAATGTTCTGAAGGCTAATTTCTGGATCGTTGACAATAGAGGTCAAAACAGGCTCAATATACTGGGCTTTCAGACTTCATCCTGCTCGTCCAAGTATAACTTTACCCAGAAAAACAGTGTTCACATTTGCTGACTGCAATTGTTTTGTTGACATCATGTAAAGGGAAGCGGGGATAATGTGCCACCGAAACTCAAAGATAAGTTCTATAAAGCAGTGGTTCGATCGGCCATGTTGTATGGAGCTGAGTGTTGGCCAGTCAAGAATTCACATATCCAGAAGATAAAAGTAGCAGAAATGAGGATGTTGAGATGGATGTGTGGGCACACTAGGCTGGATAAGATTCGGAATGAAGATATTCGGGAGAGGGTGGGCGTGGCTCCCATGGACGACAAGATGCGGGAAACGCGACTTAGATGGTTCGGACACGTGCGGAGGAGAAGCCTAGATGCACCGGTTAGGAGGTGTGAGTTTGGCAGGTACGAGAAGAGGCAGAGGACGGCCTAAGAAGTATTGGGGCGAGGTGATCAGGCAGGACATGACGCGGCTTCAGATTTCCGAGGACATGGCTCTTGATAGGAACATGTAGAGGTCGAGCATTAGGTTGGTAGGCTAGGGGTAGTCGAGAGTTCTTCCCTCTTTATACTGGGTAGTATGATAGAGTTTCATTTAGGTTTGTTAGCGGTCTTTGTTGTATTCACATTATTGTTTTACATAGTTTTGTGTTATTGTCCTTTTACTTATTTGCTGTGGTTATTTTCTTTCTAGTCTCTTTTGTTGTTACATGTCTTTTCTCTTATTTCTATTCTGATATTATTGCCTCTCCTGTTGAGCCGAGAGTATCCTGGAAACAGCCTTTCTGCCCTTTTCAGGGTAGGGATAAATTCTGCGTACATTCTACTCTTCCCAGACCCCACTAGTAGGATTTTACTAGGTATGTTGTTGTTGTATGTAAAGGGAAGCGGGGAAATTAGCATCCTCACACCTGACATTTCTTCAGCGTTTTCTTTTGTGGTTGTCTTCCTGGTATTTACTTCAACAAGTATTTGGCGTAAAATATGACAATAGAATTGACTGCAACAATGCAAAACTAAATGGAGCGACCGGGGAGCTTTCCTTCCCGCTGCCATCCCAAAGTGTTATCTTTGTTCCTTCAGTTAGCCAGACAATTGCATGCTACAGCGGAACAAACTTCACAAGATCCAAGAAAAAAAGTTGGACTCTTTATCCACACAAAAAAAGTGTCGAAAGACATGAGACTCTTTATTAAATAAATCAATTGGTATATACAGAGATCTAATAAGGTGAAAATTGGAAGACAAGCTTCAGATAGATATTTCATAACCTGCACTTGCTGATATAAATACCTATAAAACTAAATATGATACACATTGGCCACATTTGGCCAACGGGGGAGGACTTCGGGGAACCTGAAATGGATTTCCAAGAATGCAAGTCCGCTGCAACCAGCTTGGGTAGATTTAAGAACTAAATAAATAAAGCAACACTATACAGTTAAAATGTCTCTACATGAAATAGCTGAGAGATTTCTTCTTCCTTGATCCACCTTCACCATATAATTCATTCCACTGAAGAAGTTCATTCATGTTTGCCGATTCTGATGATACACTAGCACAAACCTGCATTTTAACGTGCAATAAGGCATGAAGCTCCTTACATGCACAATGCTCCTCTACCATGAACATGCACATGCACAATGCTTCTCTACCATGATAAAAAGCTTAAAACAGACGAGGTCCAAATAATTACAGTTTTGATCCTACCAATTGATACATATTTACACAACCATTAATCTTGTGTACAAGTCAAATTGACAAAAGCTCACTCCAGGAATATGAAAGGCAAAGACGATACAGAAAAGTGAAGAGCATGGAAAGTGAAGAACAATGATATGTACGGTTGAGGTTATAATAAAAACCCTTAGATCTTGGTCTAATTTCCAAGAGCAAGTTTTACCACTGTGCAGGAGGCCATAAAACATACCTGTTCATGTGCATATTTAAAATCATCGATGTTAAGAGGACGAATGTCCGCACTACTATGCAATGCAGGGACAGGCCTGCTCTCTGCAACTGCCAATGCTCTTTCCTGAAATAATGCGAGTTAAGTTACATCCCAAGTACTTAATTAGCTCATGACAGTATGAACGAAACAGGCTGATGATATTGATTCCGACATAAATAGAAGCACATATCTGGGACTGAAAAAAGCTAGTGCACAACTTTAGGAAGAGCATGTTTACATGTCAATCAAAATCACAAATTCAACCAACTGTTGGAAGGAAACAGAAACATATGAAACCAGTTGAGTGAACACAGTCAACTGACCTTTTTCTCTCTCTCTAAAATTTCTCTAATTGGGCAATGAGCAGCTGTGACACACAAATTCTGTGAACAGAAATATTAGAAGGTGACAAGCGTGACTTGTGATATTGAATAAAAAAAATAAAGGGAGGAAAACCAGTCATTGGGGCATTAAAACTCGTAACACATTAGAAGGATCACCCAGCAGACCTTTAAATCACTCCCAGAATAACCCTCAGTCATATTAGCAATAGCTTTGAGATCAACATTTGGTGCTAACTCTTCCTTGGCCAATATCACTCTCAAAATTTTCTCCCTGTTCGGAGCATCTGGCAAGTTTACCATCAGCCTGCATCAAAGGTGCACTAAACGCTATGATTCCCAATAAAAACGTTATGATTCCCAATAAACTAGTAATGATTCCCAATAAACTACAAATAAACGAATGTTCTTCCCGTTATGTCTTCTCTCTTCCGATTAATTAGCTAGGAAAATCCCTGGTTGATTAAATTTACCTTCGTGGAAGCCTCCTTATAACTGCTTCATCAAGGTCGAATGGTCTATTGGTTGCAGCAAGTACAAGCACTCGCTCCTTGTCCTTTGTACGCAAGCCATCCCAATTCACCATGAATTCATTCTTCATTTTCCGCATGGCTTCATGCTCGCCAGGATTTTCTCGTCTTCCTAGCATGCTATCCACCTAATACACCAGAAGAATGGAGGTATGAAGAGGGTAAACATAATAGTCTTTTTAATACAGCAAAAGACAACTTACAGTAAAAAAAGGATGGCAGATACATTTACATAACATATAAGCTAAAGAGTAGATTGTCAACTTAAAAGAGGAGACACACTTTGTGTAAGGCACACATGTGACAGAGATACGTTAACTTTATCATAAATATAACAAGTTCGAGAAAGGGAAATATGAAGTAAATTTTACCAACCTCATCAACGAAAACAACACTTGGAGCTATTTTACTAGCTAATGAGAAGACTGCTTTGACATACTTCTCTCCTTCACCAAACCACTACAATCAAGAAAAAGTTGTAAGCCATTAAAAGAAGGGCTTTAAAAGACGAAATGGTAAACACACAAACAAGACATAGGTTGTACCTTTGAAGTAATGCTTGACATTGATATGTTAATAAAGTTCGCACCAGCCTCCGTAGCAACAGCTTTTGCAAGCATTGTTTTACCGGTACCAGGGGGCCCAAAAAGCAATATTCCCTTGCAAGGCTATACATGATATCTTCATCAGAAATAGAAGTGCATGAATGATGAAAAGTTACACCAAATCCCACTCCCTATGTAAACAAAAAAATAAAGAATCCCGACGAAGATATAGATCCAAATGGATTTCAACGTCAAGGAAATCTTTTCACCTTTGTCAGCTGTCCTTTACAGAACAATTCAGGCCTCTGAAGTGGCAGCATCACCAACTCTTTCAAAGTATCCTTGACATTTTCCAGGGCCCCAATGTCATCAAAAGTAACCCCAATATCGCAAGGCGGAATAACATCCGCAAGTAGTCTTTTTTCAAAATCATTCTCAGTAACCACATCCTGAAAACTCGAGCATTAATACTCTGCTTCATGAAGTTAACAACAAAAGGCAACCTATTTACAAAATTGAATTTGCAAAAAACAGAGACTTCACCTTGAGAGATTTTTTCAGACTCTTGGTTTCATTTTGGGTGCCTTGCAAAATATTGAGTCCATAACCAATGCTGTCAGATCAAATATAAGACATATCAGTCCATGCCTCCTTTTGTCAACCCCCCAAAACCAAAGAACCCTTCAGTTGCCCAAAATAGCAAAATAAGAAGACATTATAGTGCAAATCTTCCAACAGTATGAATTAGACAGTAAAATTTAGTTTGACCTTTCACTGGAGATAACCAGCTTGGCCTCTTTTATTGACGACTCAGATTTGTGCATAAAGTGGTGGCTCAAGGCCCAGCCTATTATCTTTTCCACACCTATCACAATCACAAGGAAAACATGAAAATATATTGTAATCATGTTAACAATTTCAAACACAAAAAGCCCAACTTCAAGGAATACTTACTCTCACTTGTTAATGCTTGATCTTTTATGCATAAAGTTTCGAGGTCAGGGCAATCAATTCCTATACGACTCAAAACCTGAAAGTTAGGATACTTCAATCAGTCAATAAATTGAGGATACAGTTAAGAAATTCATTATATTCATCTACTTTTTAGGCTAATCGCCCATAAATACAAAAAATGAAAACATTCATCCTAAAACAAATAAACCTTCGCTCTTTTGAGAAGAGCACATGTAGGAGTAAGGCATGCATACACACTACCCTCCCCACCCTCCCCAGACCCCACTTATGGGATTACACCCCGATTGTTGTTGTTGTTGTCTTTTGAAAAGAGATAGGCCTATAAGAAGGTGGATTTAGGTAATATCCAGAACAAGAGCAAGAGAATGAAAATCGGCTAAGCTAGAGAGATGTTTCATTGTTCTAAAACTGAAGGTATCCATGTGAACAGTCCTACATAATGTACAGCCCAAGAGCAATGGAAGGAGAAGACAAAAAGGCCTTTGCCCTTGGCAAACAAAGGTTCCTTAAGCTGGGGCAGAAGGAACTCTCACATTGCGAATGCTTGCAACATTTGACTGAGATTTCAAAGTTTCAATATCCCGTTCTAGCTGTTGCTTCCAGTCAGATAATAATGCTTCATCCTGCCACAATTAAGATACATACTAAATGCTTCAATCACACAATATTTACAGTTGGCAAGCGTATCGTGAACTAAGAATTTACCTGAGGTAGCTGTATGGTAACTTTGTTGGGGAAAAGACGGGTGAGCTGCTTCATTGTTTTAGGGGTTTCTTTGCTTCTATCATGCAACCTACCAAAATTATCCTGGAAAACCCAAGACATTGCAATGCATCGACATCAGTTATTTTACAAGTGCAGTAACATGAGATGAGTTTAAACTGAGTAACATGGTCAGCAAGGATTCATATTGCCTATCCAACTTGTTTGGGACTGAGGCATAGTTGTTGATGCTTTATGTGATTCTAAAATGCAATTCGTGATTACATAAATTGCCTTGAAGCTTCTTACAATAGAATAAGAAACCGAGTACTCCATAACTGAACTCTACATATAGACCATGACTGAACTCCTGAACATATAGACCATGATGGAGAAACAGGTTTTTGTACTGTAGGTAAAAAAATGTTCGAGCAAGTAATCTTGATTTACATGGTGCTAGGCATAGGAAAATAACAAATCAGAGGCAACTCATTTAACACAAAGCAATGCATCTTCAGAGTACATAGATGCCATCTTAAGGCCTCCCCAATTACAACCCAGCTATTCATCACCACTCAACAAACTAGAAGAATAAAGAAAATATAAAAAGTGAAAGAAGAAAAAAGGCCAGAAAGCTCCTTGCAGATCCCTTCTCTTTAAAAGGTAAAGTATAAAGTCAATTACTATAAGCCAGACCTTCCTTGCATTGGAAGGAGAAAACTAGAGAACAAGTTATTGAGGAAAAAATGAGCATATAAAAGAGATAAACAGATTCACATACGGGGAAAGCAAGGTCAAGCAATGCTGTTTGGTTACTTCCTAACTTTGTAAACAGCAGTCCACCAGGATGTGACTGGAAAGCATAAAAGAATTCATCAGTCTCGCAAGTCAGAATTTGAATCTCAACGGAAAGAAAGATAACTATGCCCTTACATACTTTCTCCTTTCGGTTGTCTGTTTGAGTATAGGAAGCTATGACAACAACATTCTCTGGTAAATGTTCAAGTTTAACCTTGAAAGCAGCATAGGCCTCAGGATTACCCACCATAGACTTCTCAATGTCTTTGACAAGTAAAACTAATGCACTACTTTTACTTTCTTTTGAAGCAACCTACATATGTAAAACAGAGTAAATTAAAGGAAAGAAACTTGAATACTAGTCCAAGAAAGGAAAGCTATCATGGACATGAAAATTACTTCAAAGAGTTCATCAATGGCCAGTTTATCAATATCATCACTGCTCGAGCTATCAACGCGGAGCAAGTCAGCTGTGTAAGAAAAAAGGTCACGTTTCAGCAACAAGACATACTCAGTTATTCCAAATTGATGGGCAACACACACAAAGATGAAAATTTCTACAATGGACAGAGTAGCAGAAAACTACCAGCACAAAAAAAACCATGGTCTTCCTCGCAGAGACCACCAAGATCATTGCCTTCTGGAATTGATTTATCGAACCTGACGCCGATCTTAGAGGCCTCATTATCTTCAAATGCAAGAACCACTTTCCCCCTATAACCATATGTTGGACCCCTGTGATCACATGATGCATGTCATGATTTGCAAAATTATAAAATAAAATAAACACAATATATACATCCACTTTTACTTGATAAAGAATAACAAGACTTCTATCTAAACAAGTCAACCTACACAAGCACAGGAATTCCTAATTGCCATAAATATGTCCTTTCATACCATATGACTGCTAGATTGGCCAAAAATATTGAATATAAATAGTGAAACTCTCAATGATTGCAATCAGAACATTACAAGTGCATTGTCCACAGCACATCTTAATGAGTACAATTTGCTTGTCTTCTTCAATTGGTTAGAGATTGAAGACAAAAACATGTAGACCATAACTCAGTAATATTCATAAAACTAAACAGCAATTTAAAATTTAAACAGCAAATTCTAAGTAATAATCTGAACCACATTTACTTGATAAAATAAATAATAACGAATATGTCTAACTTCTCATATGAAGGACTATATTATGTCAGCAGTTACTTAATATTTTGGAAGTCCATAGTCAATGTTATTTTCATGTTTGCAAAGAAAAGGACTAGTCTTGAAGGGGAGCCTTGGCGTAACGGGTAAAGTTACTGCCATGTGACCAGGAGGTCACGGGTTCAAGCCGTGGAAATAGCCTCTTGCATAAATGCAGGGTAAGGCTGCGTACAATAGACCCTTGTGGTCCGACCCTTCCCCGGACCCTGCGCATAGCGGAAGCTTAGTGCACCGGGCTGCCCTTTTTTTCTAAGAAAAGGACTAGTCACCGGGAAATATCAAAAGGTTTTGAATGATAACTCTCTTTTATGAAGAGGTTTTGAATGATTACATAGTAACAACAATATATTAAGACAAATTACACTTAAATTTTCCTAAAGTATTTGACAATAGTGTAAATTTTCCTAAAGTATTTGACAATAGTGTATATGTAATGCAAAAACACTTTCAACATTTCTTAGATAAAACAAATACTACTCCTATAGTGGACCTTTCAAAAATTATTTATTATTTTTTTCAAAACCGAGAAATCCCAAGAGAAGCTAATGGCACATGGTTCGAATCTCGGTGGATAACAGCCCTGTGCTTCTCCACTAAAATACCATGCTTTTGTCTACAACAAGGTTCGAACCTGTGATGTTATTGATTATTAATCTTTTTAAAAATATTACTCCCTCCGTTTCATATTAAATGAGGTAGTTTGACTCGGCACGGAGTTTAAGAAAAAAGAAGAAGACTTTAGGAACTTGTGGTCTTAAAAGCTTAAGGGGTAAAATGTTTGTGGGGCCACGACATTCGTGTGGTTATAAAAGCTTCTCATTAAGGGTAAAAGGGTAAAATAAAAGAGTTTAAAGTTGAATTATTTCCAAATTTAGAAATGTGTCATTTATTTTGGAACAGACTAAAAAGGAAAGTACCTCATTTAATATGAAATGGAGGGAGTAATTACTCCCTCTTTGCCATTTAAATGTGGCTTTGTTTGACTGGCCACGAAGTTAAAAATAAAGACTTTTGAAACGTGTGGTATGAAACAAGTAAAGACATTTGTATAGCTATAAATCATCTCAGCAAGGATATACTGGAAATTTTAGGTTGAATTATTTCTAAATATAGAAATATATCATCCTTTTTGGGACAAACTAAAAGAGTAAGTGCCACATAAAGGGAGTACTCAATAAGACCGGCATTATGTTCCATGAATTTTATTTTATTCGATGAAGTAAGGTATTGCATTATCAAGAAGATGCAAAAGGTAACAATAGAAAACTTGGTTAACTCTTAGTACGAAAAACTAGTCTAGAGCAGTTAGCTGGAGCCTCTGGGAAGTTGATAGATATTATTAACTAGTCTAAATATTATTAACTTATTTATAATTAGAGAGACAACTATGATTAATTTTTCTATGCATACTTAACCATTTAATTCACTAAGTTCTGAAGTTCATTGGTAGCAGTCACTATTTATAGGCTACCCCTGTCAAAATTCACCAGAAAGCTAATAGCAACACCGCATATAGAATGCTAAAAGCAGCAGAGACATACACACACGCATGTATGCACTCCACAATTTTGAGGGAGGGGGAGGATACTATAGAATCCCAATTGAAAGTGCATTTCCAACTCGGTCATGAATGGAGCATAAAAGGGAAGGGAATTATTGAACAAACATCTAGGATGAAGAAAATGTTAACCAAATTCTAGCAGTTACCTCAATGGTGTTTGCAAGGGAGAAATGCCTGACTGTAAAGGACCAACATACTTCACCCTATCACCTGTCAAATCACAAATCTCACATTGAGCATAGAACTACAACCACAAATCAGACTTCAACACCCGATTCTCTTTTATTTAGGAAGGAAGAGTTGAAGATTTTATGATCTAACATAAGATGGTAACTCTATCCCATACAACCGGGGGGGGGGGGGGGGAAGAGATCCTCCAAAAATGAATTTACTGCAGAACACCCAATTACCTTTCTTGAAAGTGTAGTTTTTGGATGATGCAGTAGATGCCTCCTGCTTAGGCTGAGCACGAGAACTTATTGTAGAACCACCAGTTATATCGGCCTCAACACTTGAAGCTGGCTTCTTATTAAGATGTAGTGCAGCCACCTGGGCAGCACGTTTAGCGAAAGTACTTGCTCTCTCAGGTTTAGAACTTTGCTTTACAGAGTCAATTTCTTTGGCAGTTGACCCCTGCATAATGTTCAAGAAAACAATGAATTGCAGGATTCAGTAAATACAGATGAATTATATTGACACTGACTTCCAAAAAGAACAAATATATGTCCACCCTATCATTTTCAATTAACACTCCAGCATATACCCAACTGGTTGCGCTGCAGGAGAAGTGAAAAAAGCAAAGATTCTTCTAGCTTGTACTGACCATGATTTTCCGGTTATTTGCCTCCCATGAAATATCAAAATTATATCTGCTTCTAAGGCTAGGGAAATTATTAAATGGAGAATCAATGAATAAGATATCACTTAATCATTTCAAATACCTTAGTATTGAATTCATATTATTATTGGAGAACAAGAAATTTTTTGAGTTATAGAGGTAATGAGCTCATGCAAGGTCCTCTTTTTAATAAAATAAATATAAATATTTCCTTGTTCCGCCAAGGAATTTGTTGAGACATCCAAGTTCCCTTACCTAACTCGCCAATTCTGCATCTAATTTTATGTATAGTTATAAATGTCTCAAGTCCAAATGTCCTTTCCCTATAAGTACCAAGTCTTTTCTAACTATCAAGCCATCTTGCACATCCCCCCATCCCCCCCCCCACCCCACCCCCCTGGTAAGATCAAGAAACAAGAAAACTGGCAGTCCATTATTAGTTTCATGCAGCAGTACAAATTTATGTATAAAAGGAAGGCACAGTTGTAAATCATGGTTATTTCTACTGTGATCTAATCTTCAAGCCGGACTGAAATTATTATATGTGGTAGCAATATATAAAAAGTGATAGTCATCCACAAGTATCTCCGGTGACACAGCATTACTTTGTATTCTATAACTAAATGGGGGAAATAATAACAGGAAATGTCCATGGTTGTATAAACACCATTGACTGAGCTAATAGCAACCGAGTCAAGATTCATGATATTTTTTACCATAGAAAAACAGCAATAGAAGCAGAGTACATAAGAGGCTTACACCAGGCAATAAGAGAGAATCAACTATCAGTAGCCTGGCACCAAAGAATTTCGCAAGTGCCTTGGCCAACGTCTCCTGGTAGATCTCTGAACCTGTAAGCAGTGCATCAAAAATGTAATATTAATGGTTGTGTTGAATACATTAAATAGAGATTATCGTAATTATATATGCAGAACAAAATAGAAACACTACCTGCTGGACCTGACAACAAAATCCTAGGGCACAATGTGGGGAGATCTGATGCATATTTTGTGAATTTGTGACACTTCAAATGAATGTAAGTAGAAGCAATCAGAACATTCTTCGTGGTTTCACTGTCATGGATCACGGAAAAAGAGAACTCAATAAAATAAGTTCCAAAAGTACATTAACGACATCCTACATCTAGCACTAGACACCAGGTAAAAAAAGAGGAGAAAACCCTGCACATGTACTTCGAAAAATACTAGAGCAAGTTCAACTTGCAAAACCAAAAACTAAAGATTGCATCACAAAGTAATGAGTTCAATAGGAAATACGATAAGAACAGTACACCAAGTTCAACTTACAAAAACTTGAAAATAAAGGTTGCTTAAAGAGTAACAAAGTTCATTACAAGAAACCATTGCAATATATACCAAGTTACCAACTGCACCCATATATTATCTTTTAAATTTTTCACCTATGATGCAATATGAGGAAACATTAATAGCAAACACATGTTATCTAGATACATGCCTATGCTTCTAAAGACACATTCACAATCATATGCATATCAACCATAAGCAGGAAAGAAACAAAACGATAAACACATAACTCCAGCTGAATAATAGTAATAATGCAAAAATCAAAACTCCCTTCATACTTTTTCTGACAGGAAAAAGTTCACCCCCAGTCACAGTCTTCCCAGAAGTTGAAGTCACCCAAACATTTGAAAGGAAAAGCACCAAAAAGGCATCAAAATATTTGGAAAGCAACAAAAAGAACAATAATGAGATTATTTATTGCTTGAGATCAATGTGTTCACCTCAAATAATACGGAAAATTTTCAAATGAGACATCAATATTTTTTGAATCAAGTAATCCTTGTTGTAACAAATCTTTAAATGCTTGGCGCCTGGTTGATGTCAAAATTGGCGGGTCAAAATCTCTAAGTAGTTTGCATATTTCCCTTCGCTCTTCAAAATTTCTGGAGAAGTTACCGCCTAAGTCAAATTCAGCAGAAGATCCAGCAAGTACTCGCAGAAGAGGTCGCAATTCCTGAGCTGCCCCAGAGATCTTCCCTATCTCTGCATCATCTGAATCAAGCGCACCATCAAGATTCATGTTCTCATTTCTAGTGTCAGGAGATATTACACCAGTCTTCTCACGCAGCGAAATACCAGGTAAATCACTACGATCAGAAGCATCCTTCATATCAATATCTAAATCATGTTTGTCTGCCACTCCATTTGCAGCTGGCAGTCTGGACATTTCCGAACCTTCTTTCACATCCTTGCCATTTTGAGATGATGGTGGGAGAAGGGACAACTCTTTCTCAAGATTAGACAAAGATGCCAGGGCTGATGCCACTGCTACTGTGGAGGGGTCACCTGACCTTGCCTCAAAATGTAATCCCTTGACTGATCCACTATGAGCTTCAAGTATGCTGATTGGATGTGTCAAGCTAGACTTGTTCTCGTTGGTGATTAAGTTAAAAATCTAAAAGTAAGTAAAGGAATCCAAAGTTTCTTCCAGTACTAACATTGATATAGACAACAACAGCCATCGATATAGAATGCACACTTTTTACACGTATATAAATTCTAAAACAGGGAAAACACATTGGAAAAAGGATACATAAGCATGTTGACCAGACGAGCCAAAAACCACCTCATCACCATCATTGAGAGGCACAGTAGACATTTTTGGATAGACCTTACTATTGACTTGCACATCACCTTTCTTGCCAGTAATTTCAAGTAGAGTGACAAATCCTCCTTTCTGGACATATAAAACCGTAAGCAGAATGAAGGGAAATTAAGTTATACTACTTTAAACAACAGGAAAAAAAACATCCAGAGAAAAGATCAAGCTCACCTCTTGTTCAATATGCTTCAGATTACATAAAGATTTGCTAACAGAAGGGTCTCCTATACACAAGTCACATTGAGGACCTTGACCAACAGAATAAGTAGGACGATGCATGACAAAATGAGGATTCTGCGAAAACAAAATCAAAGTCAATTAGTGCAGTCATTTTAGAAGGAAAACCAAAAAGCAAGTAAATAGAACTGCCAAAGTTCATGAATTACATAGCAAATGTGTAGACATGATCCAGCCTAATTTTTTTACAAGGACATGATTCACCCTACTTTAAGATGTGAAAAGGGTTGTGTACATTTATATGCCAATTATTTTAAAAGAACAATATTTTCCTATGGCAAATCTCTTGGTGTTGGATAGTTTTCTGGTTTGTTGCTCAAAAAAGTGTTAGAAACAATTATGTTTGGATTGATCGCACAACAACAACAACAACCCAGTATAATCCCACAAGTGGGTTTGGGAGGGTAGTGAGTAGACCTTACCCCTACCCCGAAGAGTAGAGAGGATGTTTCCGAAAGACCCTCGGCTCAAAAAGACGAGCAGAGACAATAAATCAGTACCATCAACAGTAATCATAGAAATAGTAACATCAACATAAGGACCAGAAAATAGATGAAAAACAATAACAGTACCAAGTAAATAAGCCCGGTACCATGAAAAACGGAAGAATAGTTTGGACACAACATTAAACCACTAGCAATCTAAGACAAAACCCTATCATGCTAGTCTCTCACCCAGAACGCAATAGAAAAATGCTCAACTACCTTCTAACCTACAACTTTAATGCTCGACCTCCAAACCTTTCTATCAAGGGTCATGTCCTCGGAAATCTGAAGCCGGGCCATGTCCTGCCTGATCACTTTTCCCCAATAATCTTAGGCCGCCCTCTACCTCTCCTTGTACCAGCCAACGCCAACCGCTCACACCTCCATACCGGGGCTTCTAGGCTTCTCCTTAGCACGTGCCCGAACCGTCTGAGCCTCGACTCCTGCATCTTGTCATCCATAGGAGTCACGCCCAACTTCTCCCGAATATCTTCATTACTAGTCCTATCCATCCTAGTGTGCCTGCACATGCACCTCAACATCCTCATTTCTGCTACTTTTTATCTTCTAGATATGTAAGTTCTTAACTGGCCAACACTCTGCCCTCATACAACATGGCTAGTATATATATATATATATATATATATATATATATATATATATATATATATATATATATATATAGCCTCGACTCCTGCATCTTGTCATCCATAGGAGTCACGCCCAACTTCTCCCGAATATCTTCATTACTAGTCCTATCCATCCTAGTGTGCCTGCACATGCACCTCAACATCCTCATTTCTGCTACTTTTTATCTTCTAGATATGTAAGTTCTTAACTGGCCAACACTCTGCCCTCATTCAAC